AACCTAACATAGCCTAACAACGACATGCTAACTTAAATAATTAACAAGAGTCGGATTAGCGTCAAACACAAGTAACTCGTTTAACTCGTATTCTGACACGAAGAAAATGACGAAAAAATGACTTGGCATTGAACACGAGCCATTAGCATTAGTCACGTTGCTATATTGATGTACTAATTATTGGTCACGTTGCTACCAGGGAGACCCTGGATAAGTACTCAGTGGTACTGCAACAAGTGACAAAGTACCTATGGAAGTTAATATGTGAGAACCTGGGGCTCAATTCAGAGAAGCTAGCAAGCTTGTTTGAGGATGGAACTCAAGGTCTAAGAATGAATTATTATCCACCTTGTCCGCAGGCTAGCAGGGTTATGGGTCTCACTCCACACTCCGATGCTGTGGGTTTGACTCTACTAATTCAAGTTAATGATGTTCAAGGGTTACAAATCAAGAACAATGGCAGATGGGTACCTATAAAGCCAGTACCCGGTGCATTAATCGTCAACATTGGCGACATCATTGAGGTACCACAATGAATACTCAATAGTATATAAGATTGATAAACCACATTTTTTGACCACATTGTATAGAAGTAATGTGCCTATGAACAATCGATGTGATAATGTGTACTCCATTTTCCATCTAATCACTATGTTGTTGCAGATATTGAGTAATGGAGAATATAAGAGCATTGAGCACAGGGCTGTGGTGAACACAGAAAGGGAACGGCTTTCAATTGCAGGATTTCACAGCCCAAATATGATGACAATGATTGGTCCGATGCCCGATCTTGTCAAGAAGGCAGCAAACTACAAGGCTATAAGCAATGAGGAGTACATTAGACTTGTTGTAACCAGCAAACTTAACGGTAAAAACCTACTCGACCATATGAAATTGAAGCAGTGACAAACTCAAGGCAACAACATTTACAAAAACATTCATCTGCTTATTTGTTTGTCCGAAACATCAACTTTCATTATTGAGCTCAAAAATTTATACAAAGACATGAACTAATAATTTGGAAGAAGGTGATGATACCAAATTGGATTTTGTACATCTTTCATATAAAATTAGAGGAATGCTAGCTACCTTCCCCTCTTATCTTACTCAATCTAGCTTTCCCATTCTCGTGCTGTGTATTACTTAAGCACTTAACACTAAAGTCTCCAACTCTTTCAAAACATAAATTTCACTCACCCTTACTTACCCTTATATGAGAGTTAGCTAAAGCATTCATTAAGGGTAAGCATGTCAGAAATAATATGTTTTGAAAAAAATTAAAGGTTTAGTTTAAGTATTTGCATGATACACAAGACTGCAGGAGAATGAGAAAGGTAAGAAGAATAAGATAGCAAGGGAAGGTACCTAGCAATCCTCTTGCCACAATTTAGGATGGACAACAATGCCAAATTTTCACATTGAATGACCTCCCTCAATATGCCATTCACTATTTCAAATAATAGCATTGTCATTTGCTACGAAAAAAAGTGAAAATAATGCATTTGAATGCACAAATGGCTTTGTTGGAATGCCCTAATAACCAACTGTTTTAGCTAAAATTTGGCAACAATTAAATGAACAATACCAGCAACTTCTCGCCAAAATAATGATCTCTAACCTCACTCAATCCTTACTTCTGATGTCAACAATACAGGTAAGTAGATTTACAGTCCCTACTGGCCACAGAGTTATACATAAACCCCATTCCACACCATCTCCGCAGACATATTGAACCACACTAAAACAAATGAAAATTCAGCATATGCTCGCTATTAAAGCACTCAAAGGGGTTGGTAGGATCAAGGTTAAGCATACCATTGTCTAAAACAAAATAGCCACCATTTAAGACCACAATAAATAATGAAAAGTGATTTTGGTAATGAGAGTGGCAGAAAAAAAGTAATTCAAATGGACAGAAACAATCTAGAAACACACAGATATGCCAAGGTGAAAATGGAAAGGAACAAGGGCATCAGTTCTCCAAGATGATAAAACATCAATGAATATTTCAGATGCAAATTACCCATTATATCAATGAGAATCATCAGCTGCCCAAAGCAAAGAAGCATTCCAACCATCCAATGGCAACAAGAATTTAGCACTAAATCCAATTCAGAGAAATGTGTGTGAGTAAATAAGTGAGATTATATGTGGGGAAAAGGAAGGAAATTAGCTAGAAAGCAATCAAAACCTGTCGGGATTCACAGTAACATCACACTGTTATCAGGGTACTGACATACATGAATTCTTCTCCTTGCAATACACAATTTGAGGGGCATTTGGAGTGTAAAAATAGACCTCTCGAAATTTGGACTACCATTGAAGATGCTCTTAGATATGTTCTAAGAGCATCCCCAATGGAGTACAAATTTGAAGATGACCCATTTCTCATCTTCCAAAGAATTTTATCCCACTCTAAGATATTCTTTAATGAAGATCACATTACAAAAGAAAAGAAAACATTTTTATTTTCTCTTCAACCCAAACCTCATTCAATCCCTCCTTCTGATGTTAAGAGTACAGGTAAATAGATTTGCAATCCCCACCGGCCACCGGCCAAAGAGCTATACATCAAACCCATTACGCATTATCTCCACAGATATCTTTAACCACACTACAACAATAAAAAGATTTATCATATGCTCGGTATGAAAGCAACCAAAGGGGTTGGTAGGATCAAGGTTAAGCACACCATGATCTCAAACAAAAAAAGTAACCATTTAAGAGCAAATTGAAATTGATACTTAGATGACGAGGGGTAAATTTAACTAAACAAACAAGACACAACAACTCAACAATCAAGAGAACACACAGAGTATGCCACAGAATACCTGCAGTCCTAGAAGATTACTAGTGACAACCTAGGCACTCAGAAGGACCCATCAATCTAGGCATCCCCTGTGCTAGCAACAACTATGGTGAAAGTGTGTGAAGTCATTATTATCAAGTAAACAGAAAACAGCAGATATAGATGACTAGTCAACCACCAAGAACAGAAACCCAGATAAATTTACAGATATGCAAAACAGGTTTTGTTTACCCAGAAACCCACCATTGGGAAAAACTGGGAGTCATCAACCGACTAGGCAATCCACTAAGTAGAAAAAGATTCTTACAAAGGAATACAAGCAAGCTCAAGCAAAACCTAGATCTATTTAGGAAGATGAGCTTTACCTCCTTTGTGCAATCTTCTTCTCCAACTTAGCAAAGCTCGAAGCTTAGTTCTTCATGGCAATGGCAGAGAAGGCTCGATCATCCCATGGCACTAGCTTGCAAGCTCCAACTTAGAACGAAACCAAATTTTGGATCCATGGGAGAAAGACCAATTTCTTCAAGAAACCATACTCTTGAAGAAATCAGTAACGAATCCGATCTAGATCTATTTGAGAGAATGATTTAAATAGCTAGATGCAGATTCATATTTCAAAAGCAGTTTTTCAAAAAGAAATCAATTAGAAAAACTCATAGATGAAATATATGGTTTACTCTTGAGGAAGAAGAAGAGAAAGATGGCAAGCCAATCTTTCCAAAACTTCCACACAAAAGAGACGGCTTCCAAATGAGGGATTTACTTGCTTTTACAGACAAAAGATTTCCTTAGGTCAGACTGACACATGGCAGCAGAGAGAGAAATAGAATAGGACAAAACAGATGGTTAACCAGCTGGAAATCGCACTGAGCAAAGATGACTAGTCATCTTTTATGAAAACAGTTTTAATGCATGATATGCAATGCATGATTTACCTTTGTCAAATTGCTTGAACCTCCATAGGATAGATGAGATTTAAGAACACTTAGAGATGCTAATCTTAATCTATCCTTGAGCTTGATAAATACATATAAAAGACCTATTACAAAATTGTCAAGGGAAGCCAAAAGAATTAATCAAAATTCATACATTAACAGAAATTAAACAATGAAAATGGTTTTAGTGCTGACAGTGGCAGCAAAAAAGTAATTCAAATTGAAAACAGGATTCTAGAAACCCACAAACATATGCTAAGGAGAAAATGGAAAAGAACAAGGGCATCAGTTCTCCAAGGTGATAGATAAAACATCAATGAATATTTCAGACGCAAATTACCCATTAATATCAATAAGAATCATCAGCTGCCCAAACAACAAAAGAAGCACTCCAATCATCCAACAAAAAGAATTTGACCCAATTCAGACAAATGTGTGAGTGAAATCGATCAGAACCTGTCGGGATTCACAGTAACATCACACTGTTATCAGTGTACTGACATACATGAATTTCTTTCGTCACCTCGCTTTCGTTCATCTATCATTCCTAAAAATCCAAGTTAACAACAACAACAACAAAAACATGTCACCAAACCATGAAAATGAAAGATAAAGAAAAAAGGCAGAGTGTGCGTGCTGAAGAGAAAACACAGAGATTTAGCGGGTGTGAGAGGGGATGAGGCTGAAACAGACAACTTATAGACACTATAAGACCATCTCCAACCCATGAGGGGCTAAACCCAAATTTTCCCCCTCCAAAAAGTGATTATTTGGGTTTTGCCCAGACTCAAATCGTTTTTTCTCCCAACCCTCCGGACCCAAATTTTAAGTCCGCAACTTTATTAAATTGTTTAAGAATGGTTTAAGTTTAAATTTTTTTTTTTAATGGATAACTTTTCTTCATTCAATCTTTTTAAATAACATCATAATTTAATTTTTTGAACAATTTAACCTAAAAAAATTTGAAATTCCATAAATTTAATTTTATTTCAAAAGTAAACACACAACATAATTGAAACACAAAATGAGGATTGAAACAATTGTCGACCTCATTCACCATCTCCAAAGCTCCTCCAAAGGTGATTGATCAAATCATGTCGGAGACTCTGATGCACATGTGGAGATCGAACTCTATTATGACGAATCATGTAATCAGAGAGAGTCTGCCTATCTTGGTGGTACTCGTATGTAATGCTTGGCTCCAGCTCATATTGTCTTGCTCTGGCCCTCCTGGATCATTGTGGACACATATCCTCATCATCAGATTCCTCTTCAACATATTCGTACTCATCCTCCACAATCATGTTGTGCAAAATTATACACGTCATCATGATTGAGTGGAGGTTATCCTTGCACCACATACATGCAGGGCCCCGAACAATAGCCCATTGAGCCTGTAGTATTCCAAATGCTCTTTCAACATCCTTCCTGTACGCTTCTTGTATTTGTGCAAAAAGCCTCTTCTTTGGGTTATCAGGAGAAGAGATGGTCTTCACCAAAGTAGAGTTTGGAGTGAGTTTTGGGGTTGGATCTGATTTGGATTAATTTAAAATATTATTTTGACCGTTGGATTTAAATTTCAGCCGTTGGATCTTTTTTTTTACCGTTAAAATAGCATAGATTTAATCCCCATCGTTGATTTAAGTTAAATGTACATACATACAAAAAAAACAAACAGCAACATTTATTCAAATGCAGCCGTTGGATTCCAACGGCTACTCTACGGGACATCGACAAGTGGCGTGAAGAGAGACAAAAAGCAACTGCAAAATCTGGAGGTGGGGGCCACGACAGAAACTTTTGCACATGGGGCTGTTTTGAGGTGCAGGTGGGCTCCAAGAAAGGTTTGGATCCAGGCAATACTTGGACCTATATTTGGGTCCAAATTTGGGTTTTCCCAAATTTTGGGTCTTTCATTTTGTTGGGTTGGGGGAGATTTGGGGCAATATTTTGGGTTTGAGTCCTTGCATTGGAGATGGCCTAAGAGAGAGAGAGAGAGAGAGAGAGAGAGAGAGAGAGAGTCAAACCCTAGATTTCCTTTTGTTTTGTGGGCTGAGATCAAGTGCCCCTGGCCCAGCTCCTGGCTAGACTAGAGTAGCAATCAGCCCACAACATGACCGTGCGACCGTACACCGGCAAAGCTTCAGATGTTGGGTTCTAACAATGGACAACAAACAATTTTCACATCCTCTTACAAAGCCCACTAGTTCGACTCACTATTTTTTAGCACAAGCGATTGCGTGAGGGGGGTATACACAAGTTTTCATTGGATGCCTAGGTGTCTCGAACCTTTACTCACATAGATGGAGGTGGAAGAACTCAACCAACGAGCTATATCCCAATGGCAACTGTAAATTCACTAAAATGTAGGGTGGACAACGTTTAGTTTGGTTGGAGATCTTAGATCTTAAATCAAATTGACCACACCAATAACTAACCCAATAGAATTAGTTTAGGTCGTTATAAGTTTTTATTCGACACCTATCTTTAAATTATTTTTTATTGCTTTCAATCTCGAGATAAAGCCAAATTTTGGTTTTTGAATTTGAAATACAATTTTTCGTATTTCTTTTTCAACATAATCCTAAATCGACCTATATATAAGAGCGTGACATGTACAATAAAAATTATAAAATATTTTGTTTTATCAAAGAATATTATTTTTCATTCATGCGTGCCAACTACTAAAATCCAAGAATGAGAAGGTGCTCACTAGTTACTACCCAAGCATATTCTTCTTAAATTAAGGTTCTTCCATTTGAATTCATCTGTTTTGTATAGAAAGCGACTTAGTTTAAAGCAAGCATGGAGAGAAAACTTAAGAAAGCACATGCGAAGTTGACAATGCTGGTGATTTTTATAAATACAATGCTTTGGTGAAGTTGAGAAATGCTGACTTTGGGCCTCTAATGTTGTTGGGAGGCAACATGCATATGGGTAGCTACCAAGCATTTAATGGACAGTGATGCTTCTTGTTATTTCAACCACTCATTGTGTGGTTGCCGACGGATTGATTGATTATTTTCAAAGGCATGAAAATATATGAGCA